TGACCGCAGCCGCGTCGTCAGTGTTTTCTCCAGTCATTGGTCAGCATTATAATATATGCAAATACATGCGGGTCGAAATAATATCAAAGTGGGCTGTATGAGGCCCACTAAGATGTAAAAGGAATTTGACAGTCCTGCTCCAGTTGAATGACCTTACATCCCTATGTTGGTTCAGTTCCTGCAAAATCATAATTAAAATATTTGTCTGGGACCATCTTTGCAATGACCCAAAACAACTTGTTAAAGAGAAAGTGTACCTACCTAATGCCAAATGTGTATGATTTAAAGTGGGTCATGTATTTGTTCTCACTGATGTGAGCTCATGGACATATGGAAGAGCTATGGATAGGACCGTGTGTTCAGCTTTAATGTGTTCCATTAAAACTGCATCTGGTAGAGCAATTACATCCATATGCTTAAACTTTTGCTTACTTGTCTCTTATTCTGCAAACTGGTGAGATGCCCACTCCATGTCGATCAGGGCTCCAAAAATCAAGCTTAATTTGAATAAATGAACACTTCCGTCGTTCGCCAGCCCAGATGGTTTGAATATGGATAAAGAGGCTGTCTGTTTAAATGTAATTTCCGAGCTAGCTCTGCAGACTAAACCTGACCGCTGAATCACGGGTCGCATTTTTCTGCTCTTACAAATCTCCAAAGTTTATAGAGAGACGACAACAAAAGCTAGACTGTGCAAGGAAGAAAAAACAAAACAACTTCAACTCCTCTTCCGATGCAAGATTGAACCACGTGCTTGGATAGTTTAATCATAACGCGCCTACTTAAAGCGGTGAGAAGAGGGAAAGCAGTCTATTTCTTTCCCGCGGACGTTAGACTCATCGGCAGGATGATAGCTTGGCTGGGTTTCTTCTATCACCCATTCTGGGCTGTTTCGACGGCGCTGCTGGCTGCTGTTGTGCGCCTGCAGATGCGAAACCACTGGAATCCACAAACCTGCGCCGTGCGGCTGACAGGGAAGACTGCTATAGTGACGGGAGCCAATACTGGTTGGTTGAATATTAAGAGCCACTAACACAGAGCTGCAGGCGTAGTTTGGTGTTAAAATTCTGAGTTCTTGAGGTCTTTTTGTTGTTTGTTTGGGGGGCTTATTTTATTTTTTTTATTTATTGTGTGTGTGTGTGTGTGTTGGGGCCCCAACACACACAAAGATGGGGGGGGGGGCTTCACATTCCATGGCTATGAAGGGTTATCAACCAATTGTGATCCCAGGGTGTGTCATCACTAAATTAAGGGTCTCATTTACAGGAATTACAGGAAATAACAAGGTAGTAGCAAGAACATGAAGAGAGACTGTATTTGTTGCACTTCAAAAAAGAAAAAAAAATTACACTGAAAAGCGGCCGACATGCTTTGATGTTTAAGATCATGTAAAAATCTGTCAGAGATTCTGCATGACGGCGACTTAAATTAAAGTTAACTCTGTGGTAAAATGGAGTGGTTCTAACTCCAGCTTTCAATCCTCTCAGCTCTCAGACACTTACATGTGTGCATTCAGTATCCCTGCTGTTTGAAGTTATTAGGGGGCTTTTGTGGTCTTAGAATATAGTTCCCATTGCTGTTCATCATGACCAGTACCATGATCTATGCATCTATCTATATGCATCTATTTTAAAGTCATTCTAAACCTAAAATACTAAATCTCATTCTTCGGGAGTTGCAGTGCTGCACTAATATAGATAAGGTGACCTTGAAGCATGTTAATTGTTTACTTGGAAGTTTAAAAAAATCGAAAAATTCCTTTTATTACTCCAGATCAAAGGGTGTTCAACAAAGGGTCATCTAAAATTTCACCTACATTAAACATTTATTCAAGGACTAATAATCTAACCTATGACTTCTTGCGCCTTTATTAAATCTAAAGGTAACAGAGTTGTTTAGAGAATAGGAGAAGCACTAAAACCAGTATAGTAAAAATGTAGGAGGTAGAGGCAACAATGATTAGGAAGGAGACATTCAAAGTTAGCTACACACATTTTATGTGCCGTCAAAATGTTTGACGCCCTGACGCCAATGACCTGGGTCATTGCCCTGGGGCAATGACCCAGGTCATTGTGTTTTGAGTTCAAAATTCTGGATCAGTAACCCAGAGGCCATGACACGTCCAAATGTTTTATGACTTTGTCAGTCTGGAGTGATCACATCACTGTTTTTTGTGTTTTTAAAAAAAATACAAATATCGTGGGGTCCCTGAGGACCTCAATCAAAAGTATCCGTATCCCTACTCAGTCTTAAGATGGATTTCTTCACTTAATGTTTGGCATGGATGTTAAACTAAAGCATCACACAGTATCAACGGGTACAGTCATTTTAAAAGAAAACGCTATTATATATTATTTTCTATTGTTCTTAAGGTAATTTACTCTGATGTCCTAAGGAAGTTTATGCAGTTGGTAGTCTATGCCTGTTAAATATTTCAGTATGAGGGTTAAATTGTAACTTTATCCACTTTGTTACTAAGAGCCATATAATCTGTTACCATTTCTTTGGTTAAATGGACACAAAAAATTGCCAACGTCAGCACAGTCTGTCAGGCATAAATGTGTATGTGTGCAACAACAAGATTATTCCACAAAGAGCTAAAGAAATTCTGGGAAATGTCTGATTATCAACAGCCTCATTTTTTTACCATCACCCAAATATGTTTTGGGGTTTTTTTTAGAATACAGTCAAAGAAACACAATAGAACACTTTCAAAGTAGAAAGAGAGTAGAAACACAGAAAAGACTGCAACCATTTCAGTCTAACACACTGGATTATCTCTGTGTATATAAATATACAAATATGTGTATACTTAAACACCCATCTTCCGGCTTCTGAGGAATTAAAACACATTTTCCAGTTATGCGGGAATAAGAGCGTGAGAATAAGTAAAAGCACTGAAAACAGTAATACTCGCTTTGTGAACTGGGAGATGTGATATAAATAACCTGCTTATAAGTCTATCCAACAGTTTTACTCTGAATTTGCACTTACAAAGTGACCCAAAGACAAGGTCACTGTTAAAGGTCCTTTCGTAGCTCTTTGGAATGCTTGAATGCTACTGTGACCTCAATAAAAGACTGAGGTAGAATATTTAGTTCAGTACAGTGAAGGTAATAATACCAGACTGTAAGATAAACAATCAGACACAGTGGGAAAGACTCACTGTATTATTTGTGGTTTTTGTAATTTTGGTCATTATAGGAGTCTCTAAATCAAAGTTACTGATGACAATTATTACCTGATGTAGCGTTGCTTATGACTTATTTAATAAAAAACTTAGCAACATATTTCTGACTAAAGTGTGTTTAATTAAATTTAAACAAACTGATTCCACACAATGTAAATATGGAGCTAGCAAAGAAGTCTCTCCCGTGTGTGTGTGTCTGCTACACTGATACACTCTCTATGATGGATAATTGAAAGCAAATGACAATTAGTGGAAATGTGGAAGTGTTTGTGGTTTAGATTTGTCTTTCTGAAGTTTTCCTTGCTGCTAATTTAAATGACTTCAAAGGAAGATATCTCACTGAGTGTGTACCTTTTTAAAAATCCTCTCAGCACACATGTGTTCAGCATATGTGGTGTCGAAATTGAGGCCCATTTGTAAATGATTCCAGATGATAACATGTGCACGAAGATGACAAAAAAATGTTGCTTAATAAAACAAGTTTGCCCATAAGCTGCAGTGGATCATCCAGCAAAAGAAGAGATAATTCAGCTCCACAGTTCCTGACCGGAACATCAAAGTCATCCACCAACCAGACGTTCGTGGAAAGTGAGAGTTGTGGGAAACCGTAAGAATTGGGACTTGATTAAAACGTGATTTAGAGTGTGTAAAGCGAAGACCCAAAATGCAGAATGCCAAGACCAAATCTAAAACAAAACGCAAGCCACATATCTCAGTTGAAGATCGTCTGAACAAAAACCCAGAATAGAAACTAAAATGTCCCATTTACAAAGTAACAGTATCCAGGCAATACAGTGAAACACATGTGGCACTGTTTATACGAAGACGCATTGAGGGTAGTCATGGGAAACAGGTGGGGAATGTGAAACAGCTTAAATTAATTATGTATAAAAAGACAAAGAGCACAACCAGTTACCGAAATAAAAAAGGACGCCATCACTGAAATAGACAGATGTGACACTAACACACACAGACTTGACATAGAATGACATGGGGGGAAGAAAGCTGGGGGGAAAAATCACATAAACAACTACATTAAATCGACGCTAACAAGAATTCAAATGGAAATGAACAGAAGCTACAAACTAAAAAATCCAAATGCATGAAAATCAAATATAACAATAAATGACCCAACAAAGTCCACAAAACTCTGGGTCTATGATCCAGGATCGTGACAGGATTACTATTAGTGTTAGAAGCCTAGTTTCTTTTATGCTGATTTACACTCATTGGGGATTCTAAACTGTGAAATGTAATTGTCCTGTAATGTTCTCTTAATAAAGAGTAGAATTTGTGTAGTAATGTAGAATTAAAACATCAATTTGTGTAGAATTACACAAATTGATACTGGATCCAAATTGCAGGTCTTAAAGACCTCTACTATGAAACCAATTGCAAGTTTGCATTTGAGAAATAGACGCTCTATCTGCTTTTACAATTATGCTTAAAACTTTCCTTTTTGATAAAGTTTATCGTTAGGGCTTGATCAGGCGACCTTGAACTCTATAACCTCCTCTTCCATGGTTTACCTTTTATCTATTTCTCTCTGCTTTCTCCTCTTTCTTTTCACCCTCAACGGGATGCAGCAGCTAGCTCTCAGAACCTGGTTAATAATAAAACAAGTTTTTTCCTTCCCACTGTAGCCAACTTCTTGCTCGGAGGTGGTTGTGTTATTGTTGGGGATTCTTTCGACACTCCAGGATCAGTTCAAATTGCCTTGAGATGACTGTTGTTGTGAAATGGCACTATAGAAATAATAAAGTTGAGTTTAGTTGCAACAAAAACCTGACATGATGCTCTCAAACAAAACTGTTTCCCTCTAAGGTTTAGGAGAGGAAATATTGTCCTTTCAGTTCTAAATGTTAAAGGGGTTTGGTTGTAATGGAGAACTGTTTAAAGATTGCATCATTTCATGATATCAGTTAACCTTTTAGAAAGATTCGGGTCTTCGCCTATTTGGGTATATGTTTTAAAACCACTAATATGCGATATACATACATATATGTGTGTATAAAACATGTCACAGTTTCTGAGCAATAAAGATCTGCTTCAGTCTGCTTAAGCTGCATATCTGCAAGCAAATGCAAGCAAACACAGAACAAATGCCCAGATAATGTGAAAACTCCTTAAACTTAGAATAAAATCATAATGTTTGTTATAGGTTTTAGACCTTATGCAAATCTGTCTTTTGATTAATCTGTTATTTAAGCATATTTCAACAAGTAATATTTTGTTTTGTTCCACTCTGCTAGGGATTGGAAAGTTCATTGCCCTGGACTTTGCACGTCGTGGGGCTCGTGTTATCTTGGCTTGTCGGAGCGAGGCAAGGGGCACAGCAGCACTTAACGAAATTAGGGAAAAAACAGGAAACTCTGATGTACATCTGCGTCTGGTGGACCTTTCCTGTATGGACTCTGTCCGAGCATTTGCTGAGAGGATTCTTAAAGAGGAGAAGGCGCTGCACATCCTCGTCAACAATGCTGCAGTATCAGGTGATAGAAGCAGAGACGGTCCGTGGATTTCAACACAACCACCAAATCACGCTCACTGCTCATAACTAGATGAAGATGAGCACATACACACAAACTAGAAATAGGCAAATGAATTACATTTCTTATTTTATTTGAAACTGTTTGGGAAAAATATATTCAAATATGGAAAAAAAAATCTAAATTTTAAATATTAATGGCAACATTTTTACAAGATAAAAGCAACACTGTTGTACATCACAAGGTCAAACCTGGAAGAATTTGGGACAATTTGAGCGTTCCATTTGGACATTTTGTGTTAAAATAGTAAACTAACACACAATGTTGTGAGATGTAGCAAAAAAAGCTAGCTATTATAAATTATCAATGAAAACGCAGTTCTACTACAGTTGGCAAGCAAACAGCAAGTAAGGCTTGTTCTAATGTAAAAAACATCAGCTGGCCAGGGACTATATTCAATTTAATTTGTTGAAAATTAAAAGCCAGCTCTAATATGCATAACAACAAAAACACACAAAAACATGTCTGTTTGGGTTTTTTTGTTTAGTGAGTGAATCATTGAACAACAATTTCATCAAGCATGACAGCAGGGATTGAGGAGATGCACACAGAAATCAGGGGCCTAAACAAATGGATCATTGTCGTGACTGGATACAGAAAGCAACGCTTCGCAATAGCTAAACAATCTAGAACAGGGTGCCAAACATAAGGCCCGGAAGCCAAAATCGGCCTAATAAAGACTCCAACCAGGTCTGCTGGACGTCTTTGGAAAATTTGAAGGAGGGCATATATTTTGCACCTAAACTGTATTTTCATCAATTTTACACATTTACACAGATCTCCCCCACAGCCATTCATACCACACCAAAGTAATAAAGTAATAGATAAACAATAAACCACAGAAAAGCTCCTGTTTCTTTTTCACAGCTATACAATTTTGTGTGTCCGCAGTAAAATAGATAAATAGATAAATAAAATATGACAAATGTCTGTGAATTAACAAAAACTTTCTGCTTTATAATTACTGGACAGTTTAGACAATTGGCTATCAGAACTTGTTCTGTAATTTTACACATTACTTTACATTACAACTCAAAGAATTGTGCTGACAGATTTCTTTCTTTTACTACAGTAGGATTTCTTTTTTATGTAAAGCAAACTGAGACATGCTGTTTAAATAGCACTTCTTTTTCTTATATTGCCATATTTCAGAGATTAAATGTGCAGTTGAACTACTTTACACTGACATAAAGGGGAGTTTTGATGGTCGCTTACGATTAAATTGAAACACATATGTGTCCCACATATGTGGCAGACTTTGCAGGGCAGCAACACAAATATTTACAAGTACAATTCTGAAAAAGTTGGAATGCTGTGTAAAATGTAAATAAAACAGAGTGCAATGATTTGCAAATCTCATAAACCAATATTTTATTTTAGAAGATAGAACACGTAAACATTTAAAGTATGGGGGTTACCATCCCCTCTTCTTTTAACAACAGTCTATAAATGTCTGGGGACATCGAATGCATCAAACTGAAGAGCTGCTGGACTTTTTGGCAAGGAATGTTGTCCCATTCTTGTCTGATAAAGTATTCTAGCTGCTAATTTCATGATATGCCAAATATTTTCAACACTTCCCATCTTTACTTCTGAGAAACTCTGCCTCTTTAAGATGCTATTTTTGTTCCCATTCATGTTATCATGTTTCTTCATCTGTTTCTTTTTAGCACCACTATGTTCTATGTTCCATTGCCAAACAAAGCGGAGATTTGTAAATCGTTGCATTATGTAAGCAGGGTTCCAACTTTCTGAAGTTGTCTTGTACTAAAACACCACACAGAGTATCAGAGAGTGGTACACGATGTGCTAGCCTTGTGCTACACATCAAGCTTAGAAAACCTAGTCTGATTTATGACATCAACTTTTAGATCAACTTTTAATTCTAGGGATTTAACTTTTTATCAATCAGGTTTACCGAGGAACATAACCAAAGACGGATTTGAGGAATCTTTTGCTACTAACCACCTGGGACCTTTTCTTCTCACCAACCTGCTGCTGGGTAAGACTGTGGGGTCTATTTAACACAGTGGATGTACTGTGTTGAGAAAATGAAATGCATAATACACTACTGGCTGCAATTGTCAGGTCATCCTAAATATCTACCATTTTTTTGGTGTCTCCTCTTCTCATCGTATCCTTGCTGCCACAATGTGTTTCATATTCTTTCCAGACCTGATGAAGAGTTCGTCTCCATCCCGTATCGTCAGCGTCAGCTCAGTCAACCACAAGAAGGGTAAAGTGGACTTTTCTCATTTTCACGGCAAGAACCTGACCTATCGCATGGATCAAGTCTACAACAACACTAAGCTGCACAATATCATCTGTACCAACGAGCTAGCACGCAGACTAAAAGGCACAGGTAGGCTACAGGAAAGCAAATATTATGAATGTACAGGAGGGATCTCTCCCATTGGAACAGCACTGAAAGAAAATAAATGACAAAATAAGAAGCAGTAACAAAAGATGGATGATGATCACATTCAGATTTAAAAATACACATAAGCCACAGCTTTATGTGATTTAAATAATACTGCACTCTGATGATGATCAGTCTTCAAAAATGATTCTCATAGGACCATTGTTTGTCTTTACTGGGCTTCCTGCTCCTCTCTGTATTTGTCATGTTTGCCCCATACATTATACAGTAGTTTGTCTGTTTTTCTAAGAAATCTGAAAGATGAAACTGGCCTTAAATATTCATAAAATATGCTGGTAAAATACTGAGAGATTCTAGATTCTAGAAAGTATTGCAAATTAAACTTTCATTTTCAGTTTTTGCATCATGCTGAAAGTCAATCTAGCAATCATTAGAGGCTGAACTGTGACTTGTTGGGTGATGTTATTTCATTACAGAAAAAGTCTCATATAGGTCCGCACCTGAACTTCAGTTTGTACCATCAAAAACAGGCCAGCTCCACCTGCTTCACCCACTCCAGCCTCTAATACTTAGGATAAAATTAATTTCTCAACATCCTATCAAACCCTCAGTGCTTACCTTTTCAGTGACCGTCTCAGTGTTGTTTTTGTTTTTTGTTGTACTTTTGTCATTACATAGATGTAACTGCAAACTCCGTCCACCCCGGTATTGTGATGACAGAAGTAATGAGACACTATTCGTTTTGGATCCGTTGGATTTTCAACTTCATTGGGTTTTTCTTTTTCAAGGTAAGTTGAAACAGGCAACCAAACTAAAATAAGATACCAAATCCAGACTGTTTCAATGATGGCACAAACAAAACTGCTAAAATTAGAATAACAAGTTCAAGCGCTAAAACATTTCACATATCTGTGGTTAAGTAGAAAATAAAGCTTTCCTGCTGTAGGAATCTTAGGAATCCTTTGTTCTTATTCTTTGCTTTTTTTTTCCCCTTGTGGTTGTATCCTCATCTCTTTCATTTTTAGCCTTGTCTCTCAGATGTATACATCTGTTCTCGCATTTATATTGACATTTTAAACATGGGATAATCTGCTGCAAAGTGGGAAAAGAAAACTACAGTTAGGTCCACGACTTTTCGAACAGTGACACCAATTTTGTAACTTTACCTCTCTCAATCGCCAAAATAGATTTCATATTAAACAACTGAAGTAATTGAAGTGCAGACTTTTACATTTTCCTATCATTGTCAAAGTCTACAATAAAGAGACACCTGGAATGGAAATACAGAACGTTTACAACACAATGCAAACCACTGGTAGCTTTTAGCGAGGCCAAATGCAGCTTTGCCAGAAAAGCTCTAAAGAGCCTACCCAGTGCAGTATTTGGTGCATTTGGTAATGTCCAAGGATTTTCACCCCCTTGAATTAATACTTCAGTCGGACATTGACTTAGCATTCACTGTGGTGGCGTGTAGAGGCAGAATCATTATATACTTGCACCCCTAACTTTACCTTACAATATATTGTAAGGGAAAGTTATTCATCTGTGACTTGTATCTGTAGTGTCATCCAGTGCTCAACAACTGGCTCTACTAGGCACAAAACAGGGCTGGGATTACATGTTTTCCAGCTGCATATTTGTAGCTCTAAGGATGTTTGTTGACCTTAATTATCATGTTTCCTCTCCACCTTCCTAATCTCCCTTTCAGTCACCAGAAGCAGGGGCAGTGAGCACAATTTATTGTGCTGTAGCAGAGGAGCTGGAGGGTGTAACCGGGAAGTATGTTGATAGCGACTGTTCCCTGACTCTGCCTATCCCTTTAGCTCGGGACGCTGCCCTCGCGGTCAAGGACTTTGAATTCTGCGAAAGACTGACATCAAAGCTCTGAAGGGTTTGATAACAAGAGAGGTCAAATTCCAAAGTCATTCACACTGCACCTACTGCCTATGCAATTCTGCCACCACAATATCTGATTTTTACTATTTTGCCTTAAGTAATTTGCATGCACATTTTCTTTAAATAATTGTATTTTTGTTAATAAAGTTTACCCAACAGTGACCACTCAGTGCAATTCTTTCTTTTTAAAGGAACATTTAGTGAAATCTTACAAGTTGTGTCTGTGTCCCTTGGGATCATTGCTAAATAGCTTAATGATAGAAATGATTTTTCAGAATATGCATTACGTCTGAGTAACTGTCATGCTATAAAGGGTTATGAATTTCCTTGAGGTTTGAGAGAAATCAGTTTCTCCTGGGAAAGAGGCTGACACCCTGTGGCCAACAAGCCAACATGCTTTCACAGAAATTACAGCGCAAACTAGAATGAGTGACACAATCACTTCCCTTTATTGATTAATTCAGCAAGACACAATCAAACTTTAAAGCATTCTGTGCTTTTCGAAGAATTTATACAGCATTCACTCCCTCATGCTATCAGCCTTGTTACTTAGCTGCAGAGACAGACAGAGAGAGAACATTATGATTAACAAAGATTTGCATGCACGTATTAAGGTTCTTTAGATAAGATCATATTGTGGCTTTTTCAAAAATGTGACTTATCACCAATTATCTTGCACCAATCAAATACCTTTCTGACGCTCCTGGGTTATTTCATGGATGATCTCTTCGAGCACTGGAGTCACGTGATCCAGATGTTTTGGTGAAAGGCGGACAGAAATCTCCACGGTCTTCTCCTGGGCAGAATACGCACACATAAGTGTTAATGTCTGAAACAGGTCTCGCTTATAAATGAGACACTGAGTCTCAATGGGACTACCTGTATAAATAAAGGTTAAATAAAACATAAAAATAATGCCTTATGTTGAATTAAAAAAAGTGTTTTAACTGTGACTGGATTGAAAATATTACACTAGTTGTGAAGGCAATTTGTTTGTCTGTGTGCGCAAGCGCTCACGGGATTTCCACCACGTTCTGTCTGAGGAACCTGTTGGACGTTGACTTCTTCAAACTGGCCATCCTCTGATCGAGGCTCCATGTCCTTTCTCCCTTCTCGCTCCTGCAGCATGGACACATGCACGCATAGATGAACAAAATGAGACAAGCTGCTTTTTTTTTAAATTTCTTAAGAAGCTTTGTCTTCTGTCTTTAAGTCACAGTTTAAAATAATCTTTATTCATCTTGTGAAACAAATCACAGTTCGTTTCAATCTAAATTTTGTTTTATATCTTTCCTGAGGGTCAAGAACTACAAAACTGAAAAATTCTAGAAAAGAGTGAAAAATGACAGTCAAAACGCAGGAAAGCCCAAAGTGATGCCATAAACTATACATAAGCTCAGTGAATGAGCAAATTCTCCACTTGGACTGTTTCTCTGCCGTGTGAGGTTCCACAAGGTGCGATCCTGGATCCATGATTATTTTCCTTTTCCATCCTTGCTTTAGCATGCATCGATCTTTGATTCAATTTTTTTCTGGAATTTGTATCATTTCTATGCTAATGATATTCAGATCCACCCTAGCTGACTGTTTATCACAGATTAGTCACTGGCTTCGGTAATTGCCTTGTTTTAAACTAACAAGACTGAGGGCATGATTATAGCTCTTCTTGAAATACATTCAAGAATCAGTCAAGTGATTGCTTCCTTTCGCTCATGTGCGAAGACCAGTGTTCGTTATCATGGTGTAACATTCGACTCCTCAGACTTTGAGTCACACATAAAATCTATCTCACATTCTTGTTACTTTCACTTAAGGAGCATTTCTAAATTGCAAAGTATGGTCCACACCTTTGAACTAGAGAAAATTGTTCATGCATTTGTGTCACCACACCTAGATTATTGTAACACCTTATTTACCGGGTTAGATAAATCATCGCTTTCACATCTGCAAGCGAGTTCGCATTACCCGAATTTTATTCTCTTTATGTTGGCTTCCAGTTGAGTCGAGAATCTGTTTTAAAATTCCCACACTTACATGCAACTTCTTGTTAAACACCCTGCTGCTTGCTGTCTTCACTCACAAGCTCTACCAGTTGGTCCCCATACTAGACTAAAGACTAAAAAGGGACACAGCCTTTCAGCCTGTGGCACTAAAGCTCTTAAAGAGTTTACCACTCCAGCTCTGCTTACCCAACTCTGTGGATTCCTTTAAAAACAGGTAAAATCTTTTCTGTTTAGCGAGGCCTTTTGTTGACATTCTTTAGTTATTTATGCTTTTATCTATTTTTATTCTGTTTTAATATGCTTGTCCATTGATTTTAATTTTAACTTTTAAATGTTGTTCATCCTTTGTGACTCTTGTCACTAAAAAGCATTACATAAATAGACTGTACTTTGTTAATTGCTAGGGAAAAAAACAACAACAATAACTTAATAGGCCAATTCTTTATTTGCTACATTAAAAAGTCTAATCTGTAGGCAATATTCCACAATATTTTCAATTATTTCACAGAGCCTTTTGGTTTTTCAGGAACAGTAGTAATCGGTTTACCAGTATGTAAAAAGAACTAATCCTAACCTTCAGAAAAGTTTGGGATCATACTCCAATGAGCTAAACGGCTGATTCATGACTGAAAATCATGACTGATTTTGTGGTCTGGATTGACCAATTCATTCAGCTCTAGTTTAGCCCCAGCTGTGCACACATGCTGCTTACCTTCATCAGCATCAACTCTTTTGGGCTAAAGAACGTGATGTGTCCCTCCGTCCTCTGAACCAGCAGCGCCATCAGGCACACCAGCGCCACACAACCAGCAACTGCTCCACGCATGCTCAATTTTCTCTGTCCCTTAGAAACATACACATTGGTATATACAGAGCAGAAAGTTCACACACAATACAGTCTGAAGGTGGCCAAGGGGCTCTATTTTGCTGTGGTCGACATCTGACATGACATGCAGCATGTAACCAAGAGTGGACAAAGAAACACAAGGAATCTCATGCTTATGTAATACAGAATTTGGGAAATACATTAGAGATAG